ACTAGTCAATCAGCTTACTTTGCTCTGCCCAGACTCAGACTCCATGTCTGCCGTGGGAGATACCGAGACAGGTTTAAGACCCAATACACCCTTCACTTACAATTCGTAATCCCTCCTCGCCGGCTGATATCTATAGCCACGGCTTGAGGAAAGGCTATGTGCCGGAAGACAGCTAGAGCCGCATTCCCGAACGTGCACATTTCATTCATCATGCAATTGCACTTGATACAAGATTGGCATTGAATGGTGTATTTTCTATGAGGGAAAGTCGGGTGAACTTTCCTTAGTCATGAAAAGTAAAATCTATTCAGTGACACCACTTTCTGTTTTGAGTTGAATAAACAAAAATTGAGCACAGTACACAGGCTTTTGTTCAGTGTAAGTGCGCTCATTATTGATGGCTACGCTCGGCTGATCACACTGGGCTACCTGTACAACACGAATGCACCCTCAGTGTGAATACCAGCGGGCCGGCAAGATATCGAAAAAAGTATAACATCCTAGACAGGTTAAAGTGCAAACTAATTTTAACTGAACACAAAAAACAGCCTGGATATTTACAGTTATTGTACAGTTAATCACAAGTCAGTCACAAGTCCATCATACGTCCAGCAACATGTAGATCACAAGTCACTTTAACATTCTGGTGACATTAGCAACCGTGAGTGAATGCAAGCGCGAGTGAATAAATTACAACCGAATGCGCTTACCACGGTGATTTAGCTGTGACTGAATGACTTGTGATTGACCTGGGAGACTAGGGAAGGACTTGTGATGCACTCATCAACTACAAGACTTCTGGCGATGGGATTTACAGGTACCTCTTTGCGGACATTCTCTATGGCCCCTTTGGCTTTGTCCAGACTGAGTATCTTGACAGCTACAGCCTCCTGTGTGCTACGATTGACCGCAAGCTTCACCCTGGGGAGACACAACACAATCAGCATGATCCATTAAATGCAAACATACAATTTTGCTAAATTTTACCTCGTACTCTGAATCTGCTGCGACTGTGCGAGCATGGTGCGAGGAATAATTTATGGATTTATAAAAGAAATAACAGTAAACACGTTTGTACACTATCTGGTCTCGATTCAACAAACTTTATTCTTATTCTCACTCACTGGAAAATATATGCATGAAATGAGTATTTTGGTGGCTAAAAAAGTTACATGCACGTCGTGCATGCTCAGTAAAATAGCTACGTGCACAAGCAAAAATCTACATGCACTGGTGCATGCGTGCACCCGGGTAAATCGAGCCCTGCACTGATCGTATGTCTAGATTCTTGCATATGTCTTCACATTCACAAATTGACATACTATAAGTTATAAATCCTGCGAGCGCGAGTGGAATACGGAATAATATAGTGCGTCTGGGAAAGATTTCCATATACGAAGTTCACTAATTTTCCTCTGTATTGACTAACAAGCCCCCAGATAGCAATTTCATGTCATCAAAGTCAATTTGAGCAGTGAGAAAATACAAGCATTTTCTTAGAAAACACTTAACATTTTTCAGTCCAATCTCATAGGGTTTGTACACAGGGTGTTGAGTGAACTTCGTATATGGAAATCTTTCCTGCGTCTGTGTCCCACAAACCACGATGCCGAAAGCCGAGTGGTATGTGGAACACAGATGCACTATATTCCATGTTCCATGAGCGTGAGCCTGATAACAAATTTATCTTCAAGCAAACTTGACGCACAATAAAGATGAAACGCACGCTGTACACAAACTTCAGCCCCTTATCCTATACACGTTTGTGTTTGTTCAGAATGGCGCGCGCATCTTGGAATAGCGCAACACGTGGAGTGCGGTATGGACCGTGGCCGTGCTAGTACATGGTTATATGTAGAACACAGATGTACTACATTATTCCGTGTTCCATGAGCATGAGTGCAGAAAAACTGGTTATATGTAGCACGGCTTGTTGCCATGGATCGACCAATCAGGATCAAGGATTCAAGTTTACTTGAAGATAAATGTCCTTATGCCTTCACAATTTACAGGCATGGTATGTAAAGCACCATGGTGAGATATTGAAGACATACTTTCCATGCAGAGACACTGCAAAACTTTCCTTTTTTGAAAGATTTAAATACAATATACAAATGAAAAAAAAAAGATTATGAAAATATGAAACGCGAACAGTGCAGTTCCTGACTTACTCTCCGTACGCCCCCTCCCCCAGTGTCTGCACAAAGTCCCAGCCTTCCACAAATGGAGTCACCATCTTGGACTAATTATGTCTGCAGAAAAAAAAGAGTATCAAATGGGCAGAAATGGCACTTGCGCGGAAGGTCAATCCTGTAAATAATCTGTATACATGGTATTGGTATAGGGAATCTCAGACGTTACTTTCCCTTTTTCAAAACAATCCTCCAGCGTGTCCTGAGCCAGAGCCTTGAAGTTGAATTAAACAATTGGAATTGTTCAGACCAGTCTCATAGGTTTGTGCACGGGGTGTCAAGTGATGTCTAGGTATGAAATTTGATTTGTTTTTACTTACAAAAATATCAACTCATCGTCGACATGATTAATGTTGTGATTGACGAAATACATAAATCCCGCGGCAAGCATGCAAGTGCCGCATGCATGTTGTTATTGGACCGCTACATTTTACATACTGGAAAAAAAGGTAATTATGGGAATTCAATTTTCTTTAAAAATATCAGTTACTAATATGAAATGAACATTAGAGAAAATAATGAAATATAATATGACTTACACTTTCTTTCAAAAGAGAATGCACTTTAAAAGTATATAATAAGACTTTTTTCTAAAAGCGTGAACCTCCTGTCACAGAATAGAATAGTCCTTTATAGTCAAATACCTGTCGTCATGTTAACGCTCTCTGCACTAACTTACGTACATTTATAATAATCGGAGTCCAGTTACAAGACATGTTCGTTTGAGTATTTTTATATCTATTACTGTCAACCTCGTCCCCAGTTCTTACTTTATTTCCAACCGCATTTCCAATAGTAAACCCTGGATAGGAAACTTTCTTCCTGTATCCTGATTGGATACCGCAATTGGCTAGTAATGGATTTTTATCGTGTACTTGGTGCTATATATTCACAACGTGCAGTACGTATTTTCGCGATCATTCGTCCACACCTTCTCAAAAATACTAATTTCCTGTCCAAGTTGCTCATATTAATATGAAATATGATACTGCATGTTGTCTCGATAAGATCTTAACAGTTTAATTTCAAAAATCGTGTTTTCGTAACTCACGCCGTGCTCGCGCTGCTACGAATTGACTTTGTTTTTACCCCAGACACCGCATACCAAAACAAACGCTAATGTGTAACGTATATCCAGGCACCAGACTGTTCCTCATTTGCATACGTGTGCAAAAATCTTGCACATGCAAATGATCCAATACCAGGATGAGAGAGCATGTAGTGGTGGGCGCGTACTGCTCGACACCCTGGGGACGAGGTTGCTATTGCTGTCTAATTGTAAGGTTTGTTGCCATTGAGAGGGCGCTCTTCACAATATCTGTAGATTAAGAGTACAGTTGTAGGAATGAGGGCGGTATCACTGCACTAAGGTGTGCATCAGTAATAAAAATATTTTTAAAAAGGGAAAAAATAAGTCTGGTTGTTTGTTGGATTATTTACATTAAAAGGGTCTATGAGATGAATTTGTATTAAGATCGCATTGCATGTATGTGCAGCTTTCTACTCCTTTAAAATTTACATTTCTTGTCTTATCCAAATGTATTGGTAAGTGCACTTCTTCAAACGTTTCTTAAGAAATACTTTTCCGGACAACTGATGGTGCTGTTGCTTTGATTGCATTTTAGGAAAACAACGCTAAGCTTCGGGGTTTTCTGTTCAAATTGTGAACCCAACTTTCTTGTTCATGGAAACAATTTTGATAACATTTGCTACCTGGATTACTGCCATGCACTAACACAACAATCGAATCACCACAGCAAAGAAAAACGTACAAAAGCAAATTATCCAAAATGCGGACGACTGTTTGTGCTGAAATGGCAGTAACATTGAGGCTTTGATCTGCCCAGAATAACATCACACTTTTGCTCCTAGATATGAACATTTTCATGAGCATAAAAAAACCACAAAAAATTGAAAATAAGGTGAAATGGGATACAAGGGTACATTTTAAAGGATTACCTTAAAATCAATTATTTGTTGAGGCCCTATAAATTATCTGATGCGCGATATGCGGACAGCCTTTTACTTATTTATATCTTGGGGGGGGGGGGGGGGAGGGGGGAGTCCCGCGGGCGGAAGAGGGGGGGGGGGACTCCAAGTGTCATCCATGTAACGGAACCGGCCGAGAGCTTCATGACGAACTGAATCTGCGTGTCCTTTTATACTCAGCACACTTTACGCGACCCTGCGCGAAGTAGAGTTGAATTTACTAACTGTGACCCAGTCTCAACGGCTGTCTATTGCTCGATTGCTGTCAGCACCAGGGCCTACGCCCCCCCCCAAAAAAAAATGGTCGTCACTGCCCCCTCCCCACCTGTCGCCCCCACTGGAAATTTGGCAACCGCAGAAAAAGCACAGTCCAATAAGTGACCAGGATAAATGCCATTTGGCACGAGTCCTATTCTCTCAATTTTTTTTTCACGAAAAGCCTGTTTTCGCGAGTGGCCTTTTATTTTAACGTCCCGTAGAAATTTAGCGACACCTTTAAACTTTGAGAATTGCTTGTTTTTCTACATGTATTTCATTTTCAATGGAGAAATCTTCGGTGGCCCTACAGCTAAATATCTTTCTCGTGACATACTCCGATTGTGCGCCAATGCTTGCATCATTAAAGGCACAATTCCCCCAAATGTTTCCCTAATCTGCCCCACTAATATTACCAGACGTTTGGCTGTGGTTATACTGTGTGGCTATGTGTTTGTTCACCCAACCAGTCTTTCTTTCAAGAACGACATCACGGGACAGTGATAATTTGTGCCCGTATTTTCGATTGAAAATAATAAAAAAATCTCTCCAAACAACACAACGTTTCATGCGACATTTTTAATCTACGATAATTCAGGATGAAAGAGAAGATCAGTCATGTAAGATGACAAAGAAAATTAAACCAAAGAAAATAAGATTAAACAAACTTAAAGAATCACAAAACAAAAAGTAAAATGCACAAATTAAGAAAAACAAATTGAAATTGTATTGAGAGACAGCAATCGGGGATAACGATGAAAGGAAATGTAAAATTTCAAATTTCACGACACCAATTCAACATTTCCTGTCATCGTTACAGTGATAATTTGTTGGTGGGAACGTCAAGCACCGTCAATTAACATCAATTCTTATGAATCTCGTTTCAAAAGATTAACCCTAGTTTAGTCTGTGTCATGTAAAATTTACTGGATTTGTTTTATTTTAGGAAGCAATTTGCTTTGAATTAGTCCATCAACATCTCACCTTTTGAGTTTTGTTGTACTTTGACGTAATGAACAAGACATGTTATAGAAACTGCAAAAGCATTATATCCTGGAGATAATTTCAACAAGAAACTTAGAAGAAATTGAACATTAAACAGCCAAAAAAAAAAGATTTTAGATATAAATTAAACAGTAAATGAATTAAAAATTAAAAATAAGGTGTCCAGTATAGTCAGCTTGCTATTTCTGCTGGAGTCCGTAACATGAGGAATCGTATTTTGAATTGAATGATTCTTTGTGCGTTGTAGTTCCGAGACACATCACAGTTCGTTGGTTCCTTGCTTTATGGAGATAATGTCATTGGTGTTCAAGGTAAGAGTAGATCATTTGCAGCTATCCAGAAGGTAACGGACACGGATGACCAACTTAATGTTGAAAAGCTTACTTTGTTTAAAGACACGGTAATGGCACTCTTTCGGGCATACTGTTATCTTGAATAAAAGGGTAAAAGAAAGTCATTCCCAAAGATGCGTCTAGAGACGTATTTTTGGAAATATCCGTTAGTATAGTTGGTTTGTAATTTGTGGAAGCCGTGAATGGGTGCGCTCCGACGTTGACAGGACGAACTCGCGCCCTCTGTTGCTATTATTTGTCAGTTCAGTGTCTGACATCGCGTAGCTGCAATCGGTTGAATGAAAACGTGTCCCGGACGTTGATTTTAGGCCCAATGCAAAACATGACTCGGCAACTGTTTGATTTGAAACCAAGATCCTAGAAAATTGTTTTCTTGGAATAAGCATCATTCACAGCTCTAAAAATTTCACCAGGTTAGTTGTTAAGTTCCGTCTTAACATTTTCAACACCTTTATTGCTTTAAACGAAACCAAATGCACAAAATGAATATTTGATTTACCCTACCCTTTTAAAGTACAACAGCTGATTAGTTCACCGTTGCGTTTGGTCTTCGTCCATACTTCTCAATATTAAACCTGGACACCTGGTAAAACGAGCAAAGGCTAAATACTAAATGTTAAACTCGAATCCTGCAGGTTCGTAAACGTTGAAGCCACAAAGATGCAAAGTGGGTTAAGTCTTAAAACGATTTCTTTTTCACCGTGTATAGCCTGACAGCAGAGCAGTCTCTACAAAGAAATTCAACCTTTAAGTGATTCTGTTTGTGAGTGTTAGTTTGGTGAGACAGTTTGGTAAGATCATAGCCGATGCCATCGATTGCGAGGGCTTTGCAGGTTTGGTGTGGCATTATGTTCTGACGCATCTCCGTGGTCATCCATTGCGGGGTCGATTTAATTTGTAGTTGACATCTTGCACATGTAGGCGAACGCTCTGCTGCATCCGATGTCATTCCATCTGTCATCGCCATCTAGCTCATGCCGCATGTGAGCACAGTCCTCAGCATTTTGGGAGTTGTCGGGCTGGGTTGAAGCCCAGTCGGTGAAGGTAACCGCTGATCCATCTGTCCAGATGTACTTCCCTTCCTCTGCCTGGTCATTCAAGCCGATCCACAGGCCGCCTGTTGTAGTTGTGCGGACCGACTTCCACATCGTCAGGAGCAGATTATTCTCCTCGGCGCTGGCTATGGACGCAAGGTGACCCTGGCCGACTTCAGTGAACTCCTGGCAGTGGCTCTCAGCTTCATCATAGGTCGTGCCAGTGCCGAAGTACCGGTAGCAGTTGCCATTGTAGAGAGTCCACATCGGTGGACATTTAGGTGGGCACTTCGACGAGCAGTCTGGTTGACATGCCGCGGCAAAACCCACTAACAGGACAAAGCACAAGGCCCGAACGAAAGCCATGCTGTTTACAAGTTGTCTTCCTTCTCCGTTGACTGTCACAAGCCAAAATGCATGTGCAGAGTGAGGCTAACAGATGAGATGGCACCCTTTATTAACCCTCGATTGGTCTCAGTTTGGTATAATGCACGCCTAACATGAAGGCTTCAGTGGCGTCGAGCGTCACGTGGAGCGTTTTGATTGGCCAATGAAAGTTGGAGGTGTGGCCATCAGGGCCATCTTTCCCCAGAGGAAACAAATGTTTAACATGTATCACTGGAAAATACGTCTCACGTCAGATTCATATAGTGCCATGATTGGACAGTACTTGTCACGATTTGTGAGTTTCATGCACGAGACCAGATGGCATTCCAACTGATTGTCGGGTGCATTTACAATGAGAAATACGTACAGGACTGGTTTTTTTTTTAAATTGAATGGTAATACATTTAACTGTGAAGACTTTTATTTCCTTAATATATACAATTGTTACCTTAGCAGGTACAGCGCTGTAACGCCGCAACGGGGTATCAAAGCGCTTTACAATTATTATTATCCCTGTTTCAACGGGCAAACACACCTGAAAACTTCTCAGCTCCCTGGGGAGTATACAGCTCGATGCTGCCATTTCGGCGCAAAGCAGCTAAATCAACCACAAGAACCATCTCTACCCTCACAGGTAAACCCATCTACTCCTGGTTGGAGAGAAGCAATGAGTGACAAAGTGCCTTGCCCAAGCACCCAAGACAAACCGCGCCGTTATGCTTCAAAAGCTTTTGAATTAAAATAAAAGGAAAAGTCAACTCTTCTGTTGTTGTTTTTTGAAACACCAATGGCGATTTTTGTCCGTTTTCCTTTGCAATATTAAATAATTGCTGATGAATGTGCGAAAACGTCACTGTTTCGTTGTATTTAATCCGCCCTCTAATAAGAAGATCGCCAGGCGAGTCAAAATTTTTGAGATAAGGCATGATTTTTTTCCTCGTATTCTCTCTCTCTCTTCACTGCCTGTTAAAGTGGCGCATGACACACAGTAGTCACTAGTCGTGGCATTCTCCCTGTTTAACCAAACTCATGCCTTAAAAATTGGCAAAATGAAAGTTAAATGATAGGGTTAAATGGGACACAGAGGTGTCTTTTTCAAGGACTGCATTAACAACAGTTTAAATATACAACGAAAGTAAAACTAAATTTCAAACGCTATCGGTAATGAATATGTAATTGATATGATAATATTGCCGCATCAATTCACTCGGTAACGACAGGACAAATACATCATTCATTATTTATAGGTAGGATAACTTTAAAATGATACTAACTGGTATTATTTTTGTTTTAAATGTTGCTCAAACCTGTTGAATTAAAAACATATGAAACCCCACAAAAATAACTTGCGATATCGGTAACGAATACGAGAAGGCTATTGTTGTATCAGTTGAAATTAACCATATGTCATTTGGTACATTGAATCAACTTAAACGTAAACGTAACAGCTTGTGTTGCTTCTATTTCCCTAGAATGTTTAGACTATATTTCGTCACCGAATACAATTCCATATGGCTGGAAGTTATTGGTGCCCCCTTTTGCACGCACGTTTTCAGCAGACAACACATCAGCTTACAAGCATATGAAGAGAACATCTTATTTAAAAATTAAAAACAACATTTGTTTTTCTTGTCCGTGAATTATCAGGGAGAGGAGGTGCAATTATTGACTGATCGTGTCCTGATTGAATTAAGCGAAGACAATAAGTCTGCAGGTACAAACACGCATATATCCAATCAAGAAACAGGGTATTGGCAGTTTTTTAAATTACGTTTGGATTTCAAGACAGCTACTTCTCCGGAGTACCAGAGTCTGGTACTCTACCGCAGTCTGGTACTCTCCTATATTTAGATCGATACGGCTGGTCTCCAGCCTAAGGAGCTATGCTGGCCGCCATCTTGTCATTCTTGTTGCTTGCTATGCTCGGTTGGTGGAGTCAAGCTCTGAGAGGTTTCGTAAGTTGAGTTTCACAGCAATCACGAGTAACCAGATACAGTATTCGGCATGGCGCCTCCATTTTCACATCTTGGAAAAAGCTTCAGAAAGAGTTTGAGAGCAAGTTTTTAAACTGAACTCATCGTGACGAGCCTTCTTGACACACTCATTCACAAATACCTCAATAATGTCGGGATGACATTTTGATGTGTGCAAAATCATCATGATTTTACAAACGTCAAAATCTCATCGTATTTGCTGGACAGCATTTTTTGCCTTGCAGGTAAATAATGGTTGCATTAAACAAGCTGCTTCCATGTCTTGCAATAGGCATATATTTTCCATTGTGCACAATAATGGTCAGTTTTGAAGAGCTCCCCATTTTGAAAATGGTGCCAGCACCCCCACCCCTCCCCGCTTTTTGATTTTACGGAGGCCAAGTGTCAGTAGAAAATAAACAAAATATGTCTACATTTCGGCGGGCGGATCCCCCCGACATCAAACGCTGGATACACTACTGCTTATTATGCAACGCAGTGACGACTACTGCGGCAAATGGAAACTGCCGTTTTGTTTAAATTGATACAGACGGTCCTATTTACATAACATCACCACGCCCCCATTGCTACGAAATGACCAAGACGAATTAGTGAGAGAACGTAAGACATAATGCAAGGGCGCAATGCTACCATTGGTCTTGGTTACTGACGTCTTAGGCCAAGACGAGACCAAGGTATCTAACTGGTTTAAGGTCCATTTATTTAGAAATACGAAGGGGATTGTTTTTGAAATGGAATGGTAATTGGGGGGGGGGGGGGGTCCAACCCCGATCTGCAATAAGCTATATATGGACCTTTCTATTGTTTGTAAACATTGACGCCATTTTATATGGGCTGCCACAAGCACATAAATTGAAGCCGTGGTTGGCAACATATTTTTCCCAAAAAGTCCTCATAACGCCATCAATACGTAGTAAAAAGGCATGTGCAGGAATTATGTTGTATGTTTGTTGACAATGTTTTATTTCCCAGTATCAAATAATATTTTGGTTATCTGTAATAAGTCTTCTTCATTTTTGCAGTGTTGGACCTTCCATAGTTTTGCAACCCGTGGTTGGCAAAAGTCTATACGGTACATAATTACATGTATTGGTGTGACGCACATAATTATTATACGACGGTGAACGTACGAAACCCTGACAACAATTGGACTTGAAATCTAGCCTGTATGTTTGCGTGCATGCATGATAGCCTTAGCCTATCAGAATTTTGAAAACAATTCAGCCAGCCAATTCGATGGTATCGCGACTACACTGACCTACACGATCTACCAAGGCGCCAGCTGCTCAATGTAGCAATTAAGCCAAGTCCTGGAAAAAGCGACCCCACTGGAATATGTTTCGCTTTACCTATCGAACAATAAATCTGGGGCGTGTCTGGTTATCATGAAACGGGGGTGGGCTTAATATAAAGAATGTGGGTGTGTGTGTGTGGGGGGGGGGGAGTACGCATTGCTATATTGCTATATATGACGTCCAAGGGTAATGGGAGGCCTCTTCAGGGGCGGATTGCTGTCGACATGTCAGCTCCAAGGCCCACCCTCACCCCATCCCAATAACACTCGTCGGCTCCGCCCCCCTCCCCTCAATCGCCCTCACTGGATATATAGCAACCACAGAAAAATACCATCCCACAAATCACCATGATAAGCGCATTCAACATAAAGGGCCCTTTTAGGAAACGTGTTCACTTCATTTTTCAAGGAAAGCCTGGGTTTTTTTTCGCGAGTAGTGTTTTATTTTATTCTCCCGTGAAATTGAATAGCATGACCTTTGGTGTGAAATTTACCATGATGTCAGTTGTAAACAGCGCCCCCCTTGGGAATATAGTGTCCAGCCCCTTTACTGTTACATCCAGCGCAAGCCCCCCCCCCCCCCCCCCCCGCCCCGGTCCTGTAGCGAATTTATAAACTTTCAACTAATTGATGCTCAAATGTTACAGATAATTTATGTACAACAGCTATCACAGACCTTCTTCAGATCGTATTCGTGTTTCTGTGCAGTTTCCAAACCAAGAAGGCAAACATTCGAGTCTCGCTGTTTTGCCATCCACCCTGCTATGTTTCAAGAATCCAATGAAACGCAGGGACCGAGCATTCATATTTGTACGCAGTCGGCATGTGATGATACTTCCTGTGTTCAGTCAGTGAAGTGTCGCCAGGTTTTGGGTGGTATAAGCATGGCGTAAATTTATGATTGTGTAAGGGCGCTGTTCATGTTATGATATTCCGAAAGCTTCCAACACTAGAAAATACTATCCTAATGCGTTGACCCTAAAAGGGCCGGGGCGGAATCCGCTCCCCCCTCAACTTTTTCCGCCGTAGCTTTGAAAAGACAAATTCGCTACCCGAGCAGTGTTATGACTTTCTAGCCTCGAGCATTGCGCATCTTTTGTTACCAAAAACATAAAAATCGGACCACGGGTCGCCCCGCAGCGAAAAGTTTTCCGTTGCTACGCGCTGTGAAAACTGACTTTTCCCATATACGTCGTGTACACAGGGCACAATTACCATTCGCACATATAAATATTTAATTAGCCATAATTCCAAAACCTTTAACCTATAGTCACGACATTTCTGGGTATGTTTATGATGAGTTGCTCTATGCATGTACTGAGTTTCAAAATTGTTCGTCACTCGATGGCCGCGATCTTAGGGGTGGCCGCCCCCGGCTGAGAGAGTGTCAAAATAACCCGGCCCTTTCAGGGTAAAAGAAAAAAAAGATCAAATAAAATGTGGAATAATGCTACCCATTGAATCTGTCACAAAAAGTCTTGCACCTTTTACTTTATACCTTATACCCGTTTACCTTAATGTATTTTTGAGGGAAACAATTAAAGCACTCGAAGTGTGAATTCCAGGTCAAATACGTAGCCTACATTACAATCTGACGAGATTAATAACACTAGTACTGTGAGTCGATCCAGATTTGATCAAACGAGGGCGCTAAAACCCCTAACATGGAGATAGGTACGACACTGATGGAACTCAGCTCATTTTGAATACGTATTATTGATGGATTATATGTGACAATAGCAAAGGGACAGGATGTGTTCTCAAATTCTGCAGCAGCGCCCATCGTTTAG